GATGAAACTTTTAACATTATCATGTGGCTATTTCTCTTCATAATTATGCAATGAAAGGGGAAAAAATAGCTAGCTCCTTTAGTATGAACCCATTAGAAAAATACTGTCCGGGATGACCAAAGAAGAACAATGCATGGCCTATAGTTTGTGTAGAATTCTTGTAGAAATAAAATCAGCAGTTTAATATTCTGTTATCACAATATACTAATTTTTGTAAATATTAATAAATTATATTAAGAAAAGAAGTAAAGTAAATCATTAAGCGTTTGTGACAAACGCACACCTGGAAAACCATTAGACATAAGTTTTCAGTCCATAAAACGATATAAATATTAAATAATATCTTAAGTAATATAGCTTTACTTGCATGATTAAATGAGTCGCTTTTCACTAACCTGTTTATATGAAATTACAACATTGAACCAGACAATCCAGTGATCAACAGCATGAGCATCAATCTACGCAACTGGGATACGATGACATGTGTCAACCAAGTCCGCGAGTCTGACCACCCGATCCCGTTAGTCACTTAGCAATATACCAAATACAAATGCAGACTAAACTGTAGTGCAACCATGGTCACACTTGTACTTCAAAGTTTCAACCCGTGAAGGTCCGGGTTAGAATATATTAGAATATTGATATTCAGTAACCCATGCTTGTCGTAAGAGACGACTAACGGGATCGGGTGGCCATGCTTGCTGACTTGGTTGACACATGTCATCGGTTCCCCATTGCGCAGATCGATACTAATGCTGGATCACTGGATTGTCTGGTCCAGACTTGATTATTTACAGACCGCTGCCATAAAGCTGGAATATTGCTGAGTGCAGCGTAAAACTAAACTCACTCAAAATTTCACGAATGCTACATGATGATTCCCTAATTATTTCTGTCATCTGTGTCTATCTGTGTTGGAAGTCACCTTTTCTGTCTGTTAGGTACCGTTGTTCTATTGAGGTAAGCACGTTTAGCATAGTACGTATACTACTCTCCCAGAGTGGGCATTGCACCGTGCACCGTGTGGCATGAAGCCATTGTGACCAAATTGAACGTGGCGCCAACTCAACATTTGACTTGCAACATGACTGGGATCCGGATTAGCCGCACGTCTTCCGAGTAGCGCAGGAAGAGAACCGGTCAAAGTATCATGTCACATGATGCTATGACAGTCTCGTGAGATTTATGACGTCGCCTTGACGACACTTTCACTATTGACGCCGCCATATTGCTGAGACTATCTTACCATACCATATCGCCTATCATCTGCTGTTGTTTGCCTTGTGTTTTGCTCATCTCCGAATCTGAACACGATGAACTCTTACACCCAAGGTATTTCTATTTTAGGGCTATTTTAAAATGATAATTTTCTTTGACTTTTAGCTAGATCTAATTTTCTTAAAACTTGAAATAAAATGAGCCGAGACCTACAAGGCTACATCTGTCGGAAAGCAAAAAGACATCAATCATTATTATCATTCACCATTTGTATAAAATTGCCACCTTTTCGGATGTTGATAGCTAAACGTTAACATCTCATTCTGTCATAGGGACAGTATATTTATATAGACACTGAATAGATATCAGAGGAGTTTGATTCGATGCCAGTTACATTTATTTCAACTCATGGACAGTGACAGTGTGTCATTTTAACTATCTTTGGTACGTAAAATGAGGACCTTTTGACCTTTTAATCTGATAATAAACAATAGATAAGCTTTTAGTCTTTTAGCCATATAATTGTCTTTCCAATATCGATATAACTGTAGTTTCTATCTGACCTAAATTCATGCTCAAATTTGTTCGGGGACAATGAAACTACATAGTACACAGTACCGCGGTCTTTGATTATACCGCGGTCTTTGATTATTTTCTATTTTTGGGGGAGTCGGGCTTGCCATTGACGGTCCTATACTTTAGCATTTAGATCTACCGGAACTAAATCAGTTTCAAACGGTACGAAACTGTGCACATACGGTTTATGCAGTTTGCATTTGACCCATTTTAGAGATTGATATTTGTGCGCATCAAATCACAGATTATCTCTTAAAGAACACACGCATTTGGGCTTCTAACAACTTAAATTACAGTACATGTAATAGTGTGATGTAATTGTCACTCGATTCACAAATATTATCCTCGTATACTGATAATGAAAAGGACTTCAACAAAATATAATTGAACAAAGACATAATATTCCAGTGTTATATTATGTGTATAAATGTATACAAACATAGCTATTTTCTGCATGCTTGAGATACTGAAATATCACTTGATGCTCATCTGCCAGTGTCTTAAAATGTTACATAACGCCCTAATGTCATTCAAGGATCATTTGCCCTGTCCAACATATTGTGTACCAAATAAATTATCACTGCTCCTAAATTTTAACAGTGTTTTCCTATATTCATATACATGTATATCAGAAGTTTTTAAATTCAGATTTTGTAAAACAGAGTTTCTAGGAGACCCTGTCTGGTGTGTTTCTATTCAATTCTCAATCCTTCTTTGACCACGTGATCAAGTTATAGTTTTTGCGATTTATAAAAAAAAAACAAAAAAAATTAAATCAAATTCAATTTTAAAAACAAACCCTGAGGAAGTATTCTTTGAATTCATTTTGAGGATTTTAACATATTGCTAGTTTGATAAAACAAATGCGAGGTCCTATATTTTTATTACTCAGATTTTTTAAGGGGTATTAAGATTTGAATTCATAAGTGGATGAACACCCTTCACAATTGTGTATGAAGTGACTCCGATGATAGTCTCTGTAAACTTTTCTAAAACTAGTTTCTTCACTGTCTTGTCTTAAATCCTTTCCCATTTCTTTTCGCCTGACAGCTCTTGACCTCGTGATCAGGTTCCCTTTGAACTTTGACATCTGGGCCCCTCCTCGCCAAGTGGGTGTTTTAGGGAACCAGCAGTTTTCTGTTATTGTAAAACTGTAGTTATGTAATTCATGTATCGATTTCACATAACCATTTAATCATTATCTAACACATGCAAACATGTACAGTGTATTGTGCACTAGTGAAATGGACACTGATATCCATATAATCACTAACTTTCTCCTAACGTTATGGTAATTGTCACCGAAATGATCTATTTCCCCAAAACTGTCCTCTCCTTTCATATGCTTTCATCTTCTGTCATTCTCTTCATGTCCTTCTCTCCCTCCCTGTCAGCGTCCTACTGGGAGGTACATGACCATCCCTGAGCCCCTGTCAGAACTGCCCGCCCCTCCCACCACCATCCCCGACCCTGCTCCTCTCCCTGACCCCGTCCTACGTGATGCCCCTCACTTCGTCGATATCGACCTCGATGACGACGACACCCCGACCCAGTCCACAGTTCGAGTCTTCCTGTCACGTGTGTCTGGATTCTTGAGGAGAGTGTTCCGTGTCAAGATGGAGGCTTAGAGTGACATCTTGGAGTGTTTAGGAGTGTGTTTCGTGTCTGGACGCTTAGAGTGACATCTTGCAACAGTTTGGGTTCTTGAGGAGTGTGTTTCGTGTGAAGATGGACGCTTAGAGTGACATCTTGCAACTTTTTTTATTCTTGAGGAGTGTGTTTCGTGTGAAGATGGATACTTCGAGTGACATCTTGCAACTGTTTGGGTTCTTGAGGAGTGTGTTTCGTGTGAAGATGGACGCTTAGAGTGACATCATGCAACTGTTTGGGTTCTTGAGGAGTGTGTTTCGTGTGAAGATGGACGCTTTAGAGTGACATCTTGCAACTGTTTGGGTTCTTGAGGAGTGTGTTTCGTGTGAAGATGGACGCTTAGAGTGACATCATGCAACTGTTTGGGTTCTTGAGGAGTGTGTTTCGTGTGAAGATGGACGCTTAGAGTGACATCTTGCAACTGTTTGGGTTCTTGAGGAGTGTGTTTTCGTGTGAAGATGGACGCTTAGAGTGACATCTTGCAACTGTTTGGGTTCTTGAGGAGTGTGTTTTGTGTGAAGATGGACGCTTAGAGTGACATCTTGCTACCTCTTGGATTCTGTGTTAAAAATTACCTTGGACCTTTAGAATAGTTTTAAAAAAAAAGAAGATATTTTGCTCTTTACATTTTGGACTGTTTAATTTTTCGGACATTTTGATATTTCGGACCGTTTTGGTATTTTTTAACCTTGGAATAATACGAAACGTTAAGTGTTTGGGACTTTCACAGACCTGGGAAATTTTACAATTTTGGCACTTTCGGACTCCTTTGGTTACAAAGTTTCAAGTTTGGACTTAATTATATCATTAGCAATCAATGCTTGTTTTGTTTTTTCCATGGAGTCGTTTTCTTTGTGGTCACGCTGTTACATACCACCTCCTTTGGTTTGCCATCCCGGTATAGCCTCACAAAAAGTTTCACCAATGTGGTAAACGTCTACTGGTAAACGAACAAGATCTCCAGACCTGCGTTAGCATAACAAACATGTCACACAAGAAGTTATTTCAAATGCAGTGGGGCAGGTATATCCTTCCAAATCCACCAAACATGGTCAGAGTTTGTGGGCAACTGTTTCATGTTCAGCAGTGTTTCAGTTACTGATACACCATTGACTGCTGTCAAGATATGACCACGTCATGGCATGTCCACCCAATCCATGTATGTTCCAGGAAACCAATATAAAATCCGACTCTCCACATTGTCACCTCGATTATACATGATAAAGAACAAGTATTTCTAAAGAACATACGATTTGTTCACATATTTTTGTAACTCTCTAAATTCCGAAAAAAATGTTTTGTGTTGCTGTTTCACCAAGTGAGTGAGTGAGTGAGTTTAGTTTTCGCCGCACTCAGAAATATTCCAGCCATATAGCTATATAGGTCTGTAAATACTCGAGTCTGGAGCAGACAATCAAGTGATCTACAGCATGAGTACCCCTCTACGCAATTTAAGATGACATGTGTCAACTATGTCAGCAAGCATGACCACCCGATCCCTGAAGAATGTAAAATGGACTTCTGTTCATTGGAAAGAAATAATACCACAAAACACAAAGGATTTGAGAAGATATATTTAAGGTAGTTCTACGAAATATGATATTGTATGAGGTGATTCATGGAAAATATCACAGACATTATGGACGGGTTGCACAAATTGTATGGATGTAAATGGGAACAGAACAATCCATACCCACAGAGATTCCTATCCAAACCTTTCTGGCAGTTTAGTACCCAAATGCTGGACAACTGGTACCCACTCGTACCTACACTCTTCCCCAAAATGGCGAATCTGTACCTAATGAAATTACAAATGACTTGAAATAATGTTAAAACATTTCACGTTGAGACATTGCTGTCATTAACTGTTTTATGTAACAACACATAGTAATTAGCGTGTTTGCATTTTAAGGTTCTCAGCTAGCCTTCAACACGAAAATGAACAAAAATGTATAAAATATATTTTCTTATGAACAAAACATGGGTCAAACAAGAGAGGTAGAAATGCTCTAAAATAGGTATGAATCTGAAGAGAATGTTAGCCCTTTTCCGTTAGTTACGAATTTCTATGGGTATGGATCCGCCTAGATATATATGCAAGTTATTTATAACATAAATGTCTCTTACTTCACAGGAAAATTTTAGAAAGATCGTACAGATCTACTTACACAGTAAAGATGCTGGATGAATTTTCCACATGTAAAGCACTGATAGGATGTACAAAAGTTAGCAGATTTGTTTGGTAACTTTAAAGGAGTACATTTCCTGATGAAAACATACCAGATTAATTTAAAAACATCACTTTGTTCAACTTCAAATTGAAGCTGCATGAGGCATTATTACAATTCAGATGTTTGACTCAGGTTGATCCCGCTGGACCACAATTTTGCACTTGTTGTTAGTGCAACTTTGTCAGATCTTTGAAATGACTGGGTGTACATATCCACTATGTACTATGGGAATCGATATTCTAAGATCTAATCTGGTCTTTATATTTAAAGTCTTTGAATGGCAAGTGATACAGATCAAAGGTGAGAATTTATGGATGTCAACTCCCATATTAAGAGGAACACAACGTTTCAGAGTATATTCATACTTATGATGAAAGATTAAGAATATCCTCTGCTACGTTGTGTTGACATCCATAAATTTTCACCTCTCTTTACATTTGTTTTTTAATCCTGTAACAAAGTATTCAGCTCTGAATGCTTTGCTCACTTGTACTAAGTATTTACATCCTGCTAAAAAACTAATTCGAAAATGTCAGATGTTAAAGATTGTGTAACATTACTACAGTACTCATATTAGCAGATGATGGTTTGAACTGTATATATATACTCTGCATTCAACTCATAAATTGGAATGTCATGATTGGTATCTATTGTCACAATAATTTTCAAAACTTCTTCCAGAAAATGTAACAAATGTATAATGTGGCCTGATGTTAGACAATCTAGATACCCCTAACACTTTTACCATGATAACACTATACAGCTCCTAGTCAGCTGAAGTGCTTATCAGATTACTGAGCTGATCATTCTCTCTTGGTAGTTGTGTTGTCAGTTCATCCCCCAATTTCCAGATCTTGATGTAGCCAAGTCCATCGCCAGTTGCCAGGAGATGGCGCCTGTTGTAAACCAAACATACCATTATGTACAGTAAAAACTTTATTAGTTCTATTCTATAACACACAAAACTCAACAGTTGACACATAATGTCATATGACTGAATATGAAATGCCAATATGTCAGTCAATACTAATTTGAAAACTCTGATTCAAAACAACACAAATAATTCAGATGAAAAAGGTATACATACAAAAGGAGTGAGTGAGTAAGATTTTATGCTGTGTTAGCAATATTCCAGCAATATCACAACAGGGGACACCAGAAATGGGCTTCACACATTTAATTTATGGGGAATCGTAGCATGACAAGCTACCCTACCGCCCCCACACAAAAAGGAAGGGTATTACTTTCATTAATATCGACTTCACTTTGAAATCATTTCAGTCTTTACAGGTATTCGTATTAATCCAAATGCTGTGAGCTTGGACAATGTTATCGATAAATTTGCAAAAATTTGATTAGAATTTCGAATTTTCGCATAAGGCTGGTTGCATTTGGTGTTTTACAATTCAACTTCCGCCAACAGTAACTGTTGTTTAGCTGCAAAAACAAACAAATGGATTTCAGTATTGGACTGTGGACAAGTACTTACTGGTGAGCATTAAACTGTAAGCTGTACACAGAGGCCTTCTTCATCCCTGCCTCCAGTTTCTGCAGCGGAGCAAGATTACCCTCGCGCAGGTCATACACCAGCAGGCTGCCATTCTCACTCACAGTGGCCAGCACTGTTGGCCGGACAGGTGACCACTTGGCCCCATACAGGTACCCATCACCTGGCTCAATTGTCAGAATTGGTTGGTCCTGAAACAATACAAATTTGGAAATATGTATATTTTTTAGAGTCAGTGTGTTCACCTGAGATGAAGAAAATATATATCTGAACCTACTTTCACATTGTTCAGTGTTCATTGCAAAGCAATTTCAAAAGGTGACGACTGAAAGTAAATTAATTATAATAAGGGCGTTTGTAATGGGCTGAATTCCACAGCACGGAGGGGCACTCAAAAGTGCTACAATCTGATTATTATTACCCTGGATAACCCAAGCTGCTGCACTAGAAAGTTAATAGTCATGACTTATCCCATGGGGTACCCATTTTCTGCTGGGTGAACAGAAGCAAGTTTGAACAAACTCACTTGCCTAAGGTGAGACCACATGTATCATATGTGCTCCATTGTGCATCCTCGATAATCTCCAGGGTATACATTACGATCACTCTCCACTATACCCTGGATGCATCCAGGGCTTGGCCTGATGATTATATTACCTCCCTTGGCTGGCTTTTTATCCAATCAGGTGTCTAAGCTGGGAAGTTGAGCGAACCAATCACAACTCGATTTCGCTTCTTAAATTATATAACCCTTTAAACTTGGCAACACAATTGATGCAGAGGGTACTCTGAAAGATGTGGAAGGAGTTCTTTTATATATTTTTTGAAAGTTTCAGATCTGTCAAATTCTCTGTATTATTTCTCCAAAATCTGAGTGATACTGCGGACAAACCTTTGCGACTGCGACCGCTATCTTTGTTGACAATGGCAAGGTCGGATGTAACGGCGGCTTAGCTGATTGGCTACTGTCAGATTGCGGAGCCAGCCAATGGAGGTAATAAAATCATCGGGTCAAGCCGTGGATGCATCCAGGATATAGTGGAGAGTGATCGTAACGTATACCCTGGAGATTATCGAGGATGTCCATTGTGGGGCAGGACTTAAGTCCAAGAAACTCTCAGGAGTCAATCTGCCAAACACTGTCACCCATCCAAGGACTCTCCACTCCCAACGTTGCATAACTTCAACTGATTTGTGACCTCAGCTCTAGGATACATTTGGAACAGTACTGGGTGGATAAATAAAATAGCTTTCTGTTGACCAAGTAATAGAATACAGCATGCTGTATTCAACCTGTACAAGTGTCTGCCATTAAATCTTATACATTTCAGACCACAGAGCTGAAGCTATGAGGATTTGCAAAAGGTCCAGTGATGAGCAGAATGCAAGCTGACGATGAACCTGATAACACATCTATCTAGCATTGAGCTGTCTGATTTTCATTTTCAAATGAATGTATAATCCAAAATAAAACTTGTCAACCTTATTTTTGTTATAATTATTCCTTCATTTACAAAACTTTGAGGCATACCTTTGAAGGAAAACCTTGTAATAATCAGGGGTGGAAATAACCCATTGCCCGATGCCCGAGTCCAGTGTTTTTTTCTGTCGGGCAAGCAAATTTGTATATCACACTGTGCCGGTGTCCAGTTGATATTCCAATATTAATTATGTTGTTTATTTAAAAAATCAACCAGAAAATGGCCGGTATAGTGGGAAAATTATCAGGGCAAGTGATTTTACATGTGCCACTGTACCGGAGTACACTAGCAATTTTAAAGTTATTTCCACCCCTGATAATAATAATAATAATAGTAATTCATTTATATAGCGCCTAGTATCCATCTGACCAGTTGCTCACTGGATGCTGTAATCAGAATCTGATTATTATTACCCTGGATAACCCAAGCTGCCTCACATGAGTTTATCCAACCGGGTACCCATTTTCTGCTGGGTGAACAGAGGCAATTTTGAACAAACTCAAAATAATAGGTAACAGGTTTTCCTGTGTATTGAAGAACATAACTGAACAATGGCAAACAATCATCACAGTGTTTGAAATAAGTGCCAGTCCATAGGCCAGTGGCAAGCAGATCTCACGTCAAACTCACAGTTTTAAATGTGTTTGTACCCCTATAGCCTGCAGATATTATAAATGTTGATCGATTGGTCACAATAAGCTGCATAATTTTTACAAACTCGTGAAGTCCTTATAACAATTTGTTCATTTCACATGCTGATCTGTGATAGGCAGGGCTCCAGATAATGTTTCAACATCAGGAGTACCTACTCCTTATTTTCTCAATATAGGAGTACTGGAAAACCGTAAGAGTACATTTAGAGTACTGAATGAAATTTAATGGAGTATCAGTAATCTTGTGGTTCGTTTCATATATGCACCACAACATTGCTACTCTTGTGTGAACTGGTAAAATAACCCAATAAAACAATACTTTTTTCAGATAAATACATCTGTAAATGATTCTAAGACCATGCACCATTGCTGCGGTGCGTATCTGCTACGTTTTCTAAATTATTTCCTACCGTATTGTGCATATGTTTTAGCCGTACATATGCCGATACGGCCCTTATCTGGAGCCCTGATAGTTTTATACTTTGTCTCCAAGCATAGGGAGTGTTGCATTGTCGTATATCCTCAGTTTCACCAATGTGGTAAACGTCTACTGGTAAACAAACCAGATCTCCAGACCTGCGTTAGCATAACGAACATGTCACACAAGTAGTTATTTCATCAGTGACCTTTCTGACAATGTATTGTATCACGATGATAAGTGTAGCATTACATCCCTACTGTGTACCTGGAGCATATTGTAGAGGCGGAGACACTGGTCCATGCCAGAGCTGAGGAAGGCGTGTCTGTGATATGGGGAACACTCCACCGAGTACACAGGGCCATGATGAGGGTTGAAGGTGAAGGTGACTGGGGATCGCAGAGGCACAGAGGAGATCACGTGACCTGCCGAAAAATTTAACATTCAGTATATTCGATACAAAATGTTCAAATTAACAAAATTACTATACATCAAGTATACACATAATGTCTACATCAAGTGATTTTCAAGAAACACTGAAAATGTTGATAACTATTCAAACAGATATTGTTAAATAAAGAATATGAACATGAATAATGAACAAGTTTAGGTTGGTGAAACTGTGATGTTTTAACAGGATGGATAAATAACAAATTTAATACAAGTATAATTTTGCTATCTTTAACTCTTACCAATATAAAACATAAGGAAATCATAGTCCTTACAATCAGGAAACTAAGTCTTGGGCTTTATGAGTAAAAACAAATACATTACCTTTTCTTTAGCAACCTATATCCTGTCAACCTTACTACTTACTGACACTAAGATTTTAATGATTTAAATTGCCTGACTATTTTTGTATATGATGAAAATTAGATATATGCTCTTTGTATCCTATGACCAAATTAGAACAATAAGTTTAAGAGTTTGTCATCCCAAATGAAAGATTTTTCCTTCATTGCAGCAGATGATTGAATGATTGTCAGCACTGACAGAATGACAAATATGTTAGGTCAACGGATGCAAATAGCATCTATCATGAACATACTCCAGAGAAATAAACTGTGAATAGATTGATGAGTGAGTGAGTGAGTATGGTTTTACGCCACTTCTAGCAATATTCCAGCAATATCACGGTGGGAGACACCAGAAATGGGCTTCACACATTGTACCAATGTAGGGAATCAAATGTCTTTGGCGTGACGAGCAAATGCTTTAACCACTAGGCTACACCTGCGCCCTGAATAGGTTGATGGACTATATGACAATCATACTGCTGTCATCACAGTTACCATTCATTACCTTTTCATTATATGATGAAGCAGTGTTTGAAGTTAAGCATGAAATTCAAGGGGTCCTCGCCATTACCCAAATGTTGAAAGTTCACGATTTATGGGTCCCACTATTTATGATGACTGAAGTACCCTAGAAACCCTCAGTTTCTAACACTGCATAGTATTACGTCAGAAAATATCTCACTTCCAGCAGGGTTTCCTTGTGCATGCATGGAACACTTGAACACACAACCACTCTCAGAACCAATGATGAACATGTCCTTGTCTTCTGTGTTATATGACAGACACGTCACACCAATCTCCTTGTCAGCTCTCACTGACCGGGTCTTCATACTCCGAGGCAAGCTCTGAGCCATCAACACAAACCTGTTGCATAAAAACATGAAAATAATGGGAAATCTTCCGGCTCCAACTAAAACTGACATACTAATCATGGCCTCTGAATTAAGTGCAGACACCATTCGTCACAACCAACTAGTATGCCGCTCATTTCAGACAAATGGTTTATGTGAAGTAACAATTTCTTTTTGAAAATCCTCCAGTCCGTCTAGTATTTCTTTTGTTTCAGACAAACTGATAGAGGCCATGTCTATCCCTTAAATATCCTTCAATGAAAAATCGGTAGAAATCTAGTTATCATATTAATGTTCTACCATCATGATTCAATCTGATTGTGCATATGTGCATATGTTCTGTTGGTATCCGAAGGCAATTACAAACATTTTTAAACCAATAAATATATACTGAATTCCAAAAGAAACGCAAATGATACAAATGTTTAAACTTGCATGAAATAAGGCATAAATCAAAATATTGATCGAAGTGGTGTGTGTTCCATGCTCAGACACTTTAACGTGTTTCCTTTGCACATTGTCATAAGCAAACATCAATCACTATATTCACTACTGCATAACAGTTTTACTTGATTTGCACTTCTTTTTGGAACTGATAATAGAACAGAATATGTGAGGGTCATTATTGCATGTAGTCAACTCACCCATCAACAAGTTTCAATTTCTGTTTCTTTGAACTCATCGCCCAAATCAGAATCTTTCCATCACCACTGGCACTGATTATCTGTGAAGTGTAAACATCAAAATGACACATCAATGTAGCATACAAGCTATTAGATCCAGGTACATCACTGAATTTGTGCTGCTTTAGGAGTAACATCACCTTGTCACTATAGAACATCTTGTAATGCTTGGAGCTTAGATCAACGAGCTGGGGGTGGTGATGATGATTTTTATGGAGAAGCATGTACAAGGTGAATGATCCCCCCCCTAAACTTTATGTACAAAATCAATGACACCACCAACTTCCCATAATTTTTAAGCATAATGTTTTAATATTTCTAAGTATACAAAATCATCATCAATCCCCCAAGCCATACATTATGAACAGTCCCTAAGGGAATACTATGAAAACAAACGTAACAAGGTGTGATATCATTGAAGGTAGTGATACATTATTAGAATCACATTTTAGTTTGATCAATTTGAGACAAACAAGTTGATGATACATCTGACAAATTGATGTTTCATAAATTATCTGTGACATATTTCATCTTTAAAATAATATCCAACCTGATGCCTCCTACTCTTGGATCCAGGATCAGGGATCCACTTGACTTTGGTGACCGTTCCCTGTGGGCATCGTCTCCAATACTAGATGTTGCTATTAGAAGGTCATCTTCCTTGCTGAGATCCCAGACCATAACCTCACCTTCAAAAACAAATTACACATCAAGAGGGGTCTCCTGATTGCTACTACACACTGCTTTATCAAGGAAGAGATTAAGTAGAAAACTGAGACAAGCTGTGCCATTTCTTCAGCATGAATACTTGGGCTGTAACGATGCATCGAACTATTGATGGATTGTAATTGTTGAGTCTCCGATAGCAATTAATCGATGGATGAAAAGAAAAACTATCGATGCACCGATATTATGTCTTATCGATAGTTTAGTAATTGACTTCCCGATGATAAATGCACAGCGCAAAATACAGGAAATACCAGATTCGTTCACTTTGATTTAGAGTTATCCACCCCTAAAACAAACTTGACCTGAGTTTCAAGTTTCTTGTCAGTTATTAAAAGAGACTGAAACTATACTTGAGCTTGTTTTTATTCCATATTAACTATACATTCATTTGGGAAATGACTACAAATGAGATAATTCAAGGAGAAAAAAGACTAGTATTACAATAGTGGGGCGCAATAGTATGCAGCAATAGACTATCGCTATCGCAATAGTTGTTTCCCCCGCAATAGTCACCCCTAATGTATACATGGTCAGTTAGTATGGAATACTGGGAACACCAGTTGGAACTAGTCCCAAGTTGTTTCATGAATGTACTACACCACTGCCATGAGGCATCAATAGGTAACCTACAATATTCAACATGACATGATATCATTTTGAAATGATTTCATCAATGACAACGTTTGACAATTGGGTTAATTTAGAATCACCCATCACTACCTTAGGCCTTGACACCTCTTATCGTCTCAAGATCAGCAGTATTATTATGATTAGGGTTGTAATTCTTAAATACAAAGTCAATCCTCTAAGTTTTACATCATTTGTCAACATGCTTAGTATAGCAAAAACTGTATCAATGGAAGAAAACATGCCACGGATCTGACAAGTCTAGACGTTATCTTCATGAGTATTACATGTACATTCTAATTCCTCATCTGTTAAAGTTTCTATCCCCTACAAGTGATTGAGTATGGTTTTATACTGCTTTTAGCAATATTCCAGCAATATCACGGCAGGGGACACCAGAAATGGGCTTCACACATTGTACCCATGTGGGGAATCAAACCCGGGACTTCGCGTGAGTCAACGTTTTAACCACTAGGCTACCCACTGCCCCTCTTCCCCTAAAAACACTGAGATAATGTCAATACAATCCAGACTGTGAGGATACCGTTGTTTGTCTCACCATTAAAGTTTCCCCCAGCTATCCACGCTGGGTTTTCTGGATGGAATTCAAGACACATGATACAGCAGGAAGAATCAATGACAGTGTCTGGTTTGTTGACGTTGAGAGATCGTTTGTCCAGGTTCCATGTGGCCACTGCAGCTTTGTGTGTACACCAGTCTTCATGGTCGTATCTCCCGTAAGTAGCAAGGTCAAGGACGTAACAGTATCAGCTTCACCTCATCAATATTCATATATCAATAACCAAAATATATGTACATTAGAAGACATTGCTTCCCTGTTAGTTTCGCTAGTGTAATGGCTATTTTCGTTTTTGTCAATGTACTTAAATGAAAATACAAGTATCAGTCTGCAAGAAAAGCAAATTTTCAAAATCTGAGACTAGTGAATTGTCTTTTGGGCAAGGTTATGACAGCCTACATGAGTAAATGTGCTGAAACTTCTAATGACATGTTGAACAGTACCTTCAAGAGTTTACCACATGAACAGAATATAGTATTACTAATCTGTACCTTTCAATGTATATTCAGTGCACACTTCCATTTCAAACAAAAGACACATACACACATATCAAATTATGAACGAGAATATCAGCTTTATCAGGAACGAACATAAATACATTATAAAAGGATATGTTCCTGCTATCACTGAACCTGTACAATTCCAGGACAATCCTGTGACTTGGAACTGTAAGAAAACACAAGACATTATTGCATACAATCATATGACTATTTGAAATTATGAATACATTCTGTGAAAGAATGTTGTTCAAAATAAACCAGTAGCATACAAAAAGGAAACATCTACCTGAAAAAATGAGTGAGAGAATTTTTACCCTTATACCTGTGTGAAATGCTTTTCGGTAAAATAGGCTGAATTTGGCAAAATAGTGACTAGCATCAGAACTGGAATTAGTAGTCTCTGATGCCGCTATCACAAACATGAAGCCAGAGGTGACTCCAGAAATGGATTTCATAATGCGGGGAATGTGCAGGGGTGGAAATAACTTTAAGATTGCTAGTGTACTCTGGTACAGTGGCACATGTAAAATCACTTGCCCTGATAATTTTTCCACTGTACCGGACGTTTTCTTGTTGATTTTTTAAATAAACAACATAATTAACACTTGAAAGTCAACTGGACACCGGTACAGTGTGATATACAAATTTGCTTGCCCGACAGTAAAAAAACACTGGACTCGGACGTCAGGCAATGGGTTATTTCCACCCCTGAATGTGTCCACAACATGTCTAGCAATTGCTTCAAGCACTAGGCTACTTCATTGCTATGACACAAAATCAACTAAGTCTGTGAACCTAACCACCCAATCAATTCTGTTGCCCACCAAAGACATAGGTAGCTGAGATACAAAACAAACTAAACAAATCTGAACCCATTTAAAGTACCTCTTCACTGAGAGCTGTATGGCCAAGTGTATGGACACAGGTGACTGAGGCTCCTTCATTTTCACTACTTGTCAAGAGATCTGAAACACGAATCAATACCCTTGTAAATGTGAAAATATACATCTGTTTTTAAAAACAGGCAGATGATATAAGATACCAAACTCATACAAATCTTATCTCAGAGTGATGCTCAAACCAAGAGACATCATATCAGAGCAAAAGGTAGGTTTTCAATGAGAGTACATAACAAACTTCCTAACAATCAGTGCTTGTATTACGAATGTAAGTAAGGGTATAAATGCAAATGTGATACAAATAATCAAATTGGCAAATAATATGGAGAAATAGTAACGTTGCTGATATTTATTTGTTGTACCCTTATAAAGAGCAGATGACTATTCCTAAAATGTCAGTCATTAACCTACTATCAAAGGCATGACTTTTGAGGTTCTTGGACAATGCTGTGATTATTAGAGGTTCAACTCTTTGGAGGAACTGATTCAGTCTCTGTGAATCTGTCTCAGCGAGTCGAAGTGCTCTGTCACGTCCATCATCGGTCTGTGTCTAATGAAAACAGAAACCAAAATTACTTTCTGTGCATCAATGTTTTAAACTGCAAACACAATAATAAAAATCAAATATAAAACTCAAATTAATAATTTACCAACGGTTGAAAGTAAGTGGGGTCCTAAGGGTCCAAGTAAAATACTTAAAGGACACTTCAATCAGACGCTAATTTCAAACACTAAAAAAGCACATCAAACTTTGAGATCAAAATACCAACCAAGCCAAATGGTTCTTTGATTGAGCATGTTTTTAAAAAATGCAACTACTACCTCAAGATATTGTTATTTAATGTACAGTCAGTAAGTCTAAAGAGAGGGACATCATATATTATTGTATTTAAAAGACAGTACCCCTTCATCATTTCTTTCTATGGACTGACATCCAACCTCTTCAATGAGTAAGTCACTTGTTTGGCAGCTGTTGTCAGATACATGTCTGTAAAAACATCAAATACAGTTAATTTCAATAGTCATTAGTCAAGTTGTAAAAGACAGGCAAAAATAAAATGTTTTGTTCTTCATCTTACACCACGTAAGTATCCTAAACTGGCATCTAGATTAAAAACATTTGCATGAACAGGATTTTAGTTCTGTATTAGTGTTGGGAATTTGATAATTTGATAAAATCTCATAATTTATGATTGGTTCATTACAACCGATCAATCATCGAAAATAATTGGTCAGCATCATTTATCAAATTTTTCTGGTTATGTTTGTTACTGCACAAAAAAGCAAAGAAAAAACATGTAGTTCTTATGAGTCTTTTTGCAAATTCCACAAAATGCATGTGCAAATTTAACATCTTTCAAGGATGACTACCGGTAGTATGTTAGGAACATAACTTTCCTGGAGTCTTTAAGATAAATTCAATCCTGACTTGGAACGAGCTTGTAATGTTTATGAAATGTAACAGACAAAACCAACCTTGTGAAAAATATTGTTAATGCAAACAAGTGTTCCAGAATTGTTTGTGTTCGATTATGAGAAAACATGATCGATTGCTTGGTCGTTTAGTCATTGCGACCAATCTTCGATTATTTCAATTAATGGGACCACCACTATTCTGTATATATACAATGTACATAAAGAATATTATCAGTTCAATTAGTTTCAATGAGATGAATTCAACTAGATATGGATTTTGAATAAATGCAGCAGTGGTTGCAAATACTAACATGTAAGTGTCATCAGTACTAGTTTAGGCACTATATCTTAACTAGTTGATCCAGTATCCTAAGTGTTGATTATGACTATTAATGTTTTTCATTCAGTAATACCTAAGGCATCATAAATAGGAATACAAAGTTTGTTTGTTGCATAATGCACCACTCAGCAATATTTCAGCTACAGTAAACTATGTTTATAATAAACACGCTCATAATGAACTTGGTTCCTGGCCATTTGTTGTACATTTTTGTCAAAATGCAGCTAACAAACTATGGTTGTACTGAACAAAAATTAGTGGTCCCTTCAGTGTGCGAAATAGTCTCCAATTTTTGCTAGCCAGTCGGGCTAGCTGTGCCTGAAAGTTACTAGCCCACAAAATAATTCACCATCCCCAAATTTAAATGTAGACACAGGTTTCTGCTAATATGATGAACACTTGTATCAGGCCGTAATCTTGCATGATTTAAAAGAATATTATAACTGAACAAGTCGGAGAGGGTGATATATTTACAAAATGACCCCATGAAATTCACTTGCCATTCGGGCTAGTGACTGTGGAGATTTACTGGCCCAACCGAATTTTTACAAGCCACGGGTTAGCGGACCAGTGGTTATTTCACACACTGGGTCCTTTTGATTAATCTACTGTATATGAATGCAGTCTGCAAATACTTGAGTCTTATGACTAGCACAGACACCTCTCACAACAAGCATGGGTAGCTGAATAATGGCCTACACGAAAAAGATAAACTGATCAGCTGCTAGGATATGTCATAATGTTTATCTGTCAAAATGCCAAAGGATGTTATAATTTGGTAATGACAGGAACATGAATATAATAAGTTATATAAAGCGAAATGCGACCAGTTGTCTCTTGCAGAATCCCTGGCTGCAGCTAAGCGGGGATACAATTTAAGTCTTTTATAGTTTAGTTGTTATTTTCCATTTGATACCCTCAGTCCAATTGAAACTTTGAACGCTCACCTCTTTTCTTCATGAAACTTGTAACTAACGCCTATATAACAACACAATCAGCACAACCCATATTAGACATACCAGTCACTTTAATGACTAATAATGACTTAGTCAATCAAAAACAAATACCTTTCTTTTTTCCACGATGATTTGAATTCAACTGGATCTAGATTTTCGTCAGTAAACATGCTGATACAAACAATGTTTTCTTGACATGAGCGACGCACAGACAGACAAATATGCGTCGTCTGCTTGACATATCCGCACTTTACTTCCTGTTTAGCTGCATAAAATATTTACACATATTTGCCTCAGGACAATACGTTTTCTTAGTACATTAAAATTTACTTGTGCTTATGGTTAATAAAAACGATTTATGTATTCTTAATTAAAAGGATTTCATACAATTTGTTGCCAAAATAATCCAATGAAACCGGTATTACTATTTCCTCCGTTGCCCTTAGCATCAAACAAAATGGAGGACATCCAAGCACGTGTGCAGAAAGCCGTTCATGAATCTGTTGTAAAAATCGACAAAGAATGTCTGCGGAAAATGCAGGTACGTAGCCGTCTGTCTCAAAGGCATGGTTAAATGTCAGGTGACATGCAAACCAAAAACGTCAACTATGTGCTTTGAATGAAGCGAAAGTGTAAGTGAAGTGGGCGTATTTTCGGTTTCCCGTTGCAATTTCCAGCTGGATTTCATGTATGCACCTACGTTGCAACTGTGAATCACAGTTCTCAAACCTATGCTCATGATGATGCCAGACAATAGAATATAAATATGAAAAGAAGAAATGTACAAAAATGTCGATTACATTTCATTCTAGACACTGCTTTGGCCCAACAAGATAGTCATCCGTGAAACTGACATTGAACGAACTGAAGTCATTGAAGTATGATGAAATCTTATACTTCCCTGTCTGACGGTATTTTGATAGCTAAAAAATCTAGCTATGGGAAAAAATAACATTGCATTTTGTGAAACTTTTGGCCTTGGATAGTACTGTGTTTACCAGTGAGTGAAACCGCGACAGACGAAAGAAACGACTGAAGGAGTAGTGCCCTTTACCATGTTTACTGGGCACAGTTTTAGGAATATCAGTTAGTGTCATGTAGAGGATCGAATTTGCATTGTCAGCTTTAAGCTTAGCCGGGCTAGTGACTTAATCTAATTTGTCAAAGCTATACTACAGGGCCAATGGATCTGTCAAAAAAATAATTAAATGTGCAAGTAGTACAGGGGCATTTTTCTTTGTAAAAACTTATTAAAAGAATATATGCTGTTTCCTCATGTTACTTTTAATGTATTCCATATGAAAGATACCCATACCCTGCCTCACAACTAACCCTTCTGGAGTGTTTGAGCGGCAAGTGTTTTCAAGTCCTAAGCATCATGAAAGGGTGTTTGATCAGAAAGGGGTGTTTAACCCAAATGTTCGTAAAGTGGTGCATGAATTGGAAAGGGGATATGGTTAAGGATAGAGTTGGGTGGTAACGTATACCAACCCTAACACAAAGGATCATAAAAGGCATGGAAGATCTGTGAAGTAGATAGGTAATACCAAATGTCAAATTTAGCAAGCTTTTTTGCTTCTCAAATATACTGCTAATGTTACTATGGGAATTATATATTTTAAACACAGCCTATGGTTTGAAAAATATATACTTAACATGTGCTCCCTACAAAGCATCAAAAATAGCAAATATTATGGTGGATTATTGATTCATACACTTTTCATGATTGAATATGTTATCTTTTACAGGCAGACATGCATCGGTGCAGCGTAAAATGTTGTGAAAATACCAAAGCAGGACTTGAAGAAACACAGAATTGTCTTGAACAGTGTGCCATTCCTGTGAATAAAGCTCAGAGCTATCTCCATAAAGAACTCCAAATGTTTCAGGTGAGGATTACCATTATGTCAGAGAATCATGGCTGAACAAATAAGCTGAGAATTTATAAGACGGAAAAGTTTTTCCTGTTATCGTCAGCACCATAGTGACTAGACCAGGGGAGAAGCCGTGTGTTTGAAAATATGCTGTAGCTTGCAATTTTCAAATAGAATACATTTCAACATATTACAAAAAAACCTGATGAAAGTGCAAGACATTAATTTTACATCACACTTCAAAGTACACACAAGTCTTCCACTTCTCATATATGAACTCTGGTTGCCTAACGAGTAAGTTTAGTATTCACAGAGATGTGACACCAGAACCAGGGTATTCATAATCTTTAATGCATGCTGCAGTGGCTTTCCCTAGTGACTGTTTGTACTAAAAAAGGAGGGTATTTCAGCTGGATAATTCCTGCCACCTCTTTTTGGTGGACAGGGTTAGGGTTGGTATTAGAAACCCCTAACCTTCCTGACTTAATTCATAGCTAACTTATTGCTTTTATATGTAGCATATGTTTTTACAGAGTAAAAATAACATGATTTTATTCATTTAAGTGGCTGGGACAGTCGAAGGTCTTAGCCATTTAAGGGCCACACTAACTGTTTACTAAGATCATCAAATAGCACTAACATACAATCTTATGAAAATGGTAGACCAAAGTGACACATTTGGGGTAGAAGGTTCACATGGGTTTGGGCATAATTTGCTTGAACTGTTTCATTGTGTATAAAAACAACTTAACCAGGCAGCAGAATAACCAATGATTGTATTGAGAAGGTATATACTTCGAAATGCTGTGTTCCATATAATAAAGATGTTGACATCCATAAATTCCCTCCCTTTTGAGCACAAACTTCTCTATGCCATTCAAGGCAGATCTATGCTCATGCTGTTGATGACTGGATTGTCTGGTCCAGACTCAATTATTTACAGACCACCGCCATATAGCTGGAATATTGCTCAGTGTGGCGTAAAACTGCACTCACTCACTCCTCACTCTATGCCATTCAAAGACTTATTGTTCAGTGACTCGCAACACCTCTAATGTTGTTAATCCCTTTCATGCATCATGATACCCATGAAGGTCTGGGTTAGAATATTGATCTTCAGTAACCCATGCTTGTCGTAAGAGGCGACTAAACGGATCGGGTGGTCAGGCTCGCTAACTTGGTTGACACAAGTCATCGGTTCCCAATTGCGCAGATCGATGCTGATGCTGTTGATCACTAAGTTGTGTGGTCCAGACTCGATTATCTACAGACCGCTGCCATATAGCTGGAATATTGCTGAGTGCGGCGTAAAACTAAACTCACTCACTCATGCATCATGTGCATACCATCATAAGGTCTTCGTTAATCCCCGTTACATGTATGCAAGTTTGTTGTGTGCTATAGTACTTCAATCTTGCTTTACGAAGATAGAAGACTCTTTCCCGAAACATCGCATCAAAATATAACACAAAAGTTGTCGCCCATAAATCATGTTACCTTTCCTGATTGTGTGACTGTACAATAATGGCATTGGCTGTAAAAGTTGTTTTCAAATTCTGGACAAATGCTGACTTCAGTTCAGGATAAAATGAACCGACTGTTTCAGGACCGGCTCCAGCGGTGTGCGATGGACTGCCAGGACAAAGTCCGAGACAAAGTAACGGCCAACACAACAGAGGCAGAAGCCAACAAGTACCGATCAGAGCTGGAGGCATGTGTAGTGAAATGTGGCAATGTCCATGCTGACATGCTGCCGGGCATGATGAAGAAAATACAGGGTGTTTTGAACAAAGGACAGTATTGATGTTTATATACCTTAGCAACATATCATTTAATGTGTAAATATAGTTAGAATTGTGTGATGAATGAGTGACAGTTAATCAGATGGTAGTATAACAATGAAGTTTTATGATAAGTTCTGTGAAAGGTGAATGTTTGAATGCCAAGTAGGATGAAGGATGTAGAGACTTTGAGCTTGCCCAAGATGGATTAATTCAAGGATTAATCTGTGTGTACAAGATAATTTTTGATTTTAAGGATCTGATATACTTGTAACTAACTTGGGAAATTTATACACAATTTCAGTCTTAAGACGTAGCCTGTATACTACTGAATTGTGTTATATTTCAAGTTATGTTATTGGTAAAAACATTTTGAAGCAGAAGGATAATGATTGTCTTAACAGAGTCATTATTTAGGTTGTGGGTTGGGATTCAGTGTGTTCCAAGCTCTGAAATAAGTGTTATGATTGTGAAGGTTGTGGAATGATCTTCTATTGAGACCAGTCAGGATGTGAATTCCCAATTGGATAGGGAGAGTAATATATCTACTTATGACAAAAAGTCAAATACCTTTGTTATATTGAAATACCCTAGTACCTCTTTGATCTGCTCCTGGTATCTGACCATTCATAAGGTTGTTTGTCATCTTGAGTAACCATGGTAACATACAGTGAATGAAGTCAACAAGGTTTGTGAGTACCTGCTAAGATACTAAGAGTAAAGACTTAAAGCATACTTTATACTCAAGGTGAAGTGGATATTTAAGTGGAGAAGTAACATAAATAACATTGTAATCATCTCAGCATTTCATGTTATTGTTTATCCATCGTCATTATTGTGTATTTTTTTTGTTCTGTCAACAAATAACATTAAGCAATTACTTCAGTGTTCATCTTGCATATTGAATATTGCTCTTGGATTAGTTCATTATACACATTCGGTGTTTGAAATAATAAAAGATGTCAGGATGCCATTGGGACCCTCAGGCATTAGAGGCTGCAGGTCCTGGTTAAACTCTTCAGTCCAGCAGTTAGAAAACAGGGTGCTGTTATACAAAGCAAACTTGGCTCTAGGGTGATAGTGACTCCCATACCTTAACATACAATTACAATAGTCGTAGCCCTAAGGCTGTTCTGTACAATGGCACAGTGTTATTTATTGTGACAAATTCATTGACATCTACATTTATGACAGGGTAAATTTGAAACTATGGGCCCAATATGATATGAATCCATCATGGGCCTATGGACAGGCTCCTGTTTTCAATACTGTACTCTCTGATTGTATTCACCTTGGAGATTTGATGCTAACATATTTGGCCATATCATGAGGAAAGGATACACATGTATATTACTGAGTCTTGCTGAGTTCATTTAATGTTAAAATATTAATGTTATAAATATTACCGAAATTGAGGCCAGTATTGTAAGTCCTTATCTGACTGGTGGGAACAGATTTGTCTATTCACAGTCTCCCCACCTGCCATTGTTCAAGCTGTATGTACTACAGACAGTGTTCTTTTCATGGTGTCTGGTTTTGCATTTGTTTTCATATATATATCACTGCCAGTTACGTATTTGAAGGAAGTGAGGAGAATGTACAAAAGAATTTTTATTTTTTGTATTTATAATCAAAGAAAATGTGTTATTAAATTTTGAAATAGAGAAGAAAACACGTCTTGTTACTGTTTTAATGTTTAGTGTTTACATCAGATTCAGGACCGCTCCAAGACATTTGAGTCAGATGGAATGCTGGCTGTCTAACATGTTAGGAGGGGTTGGTATGATTTGAGCAGGTATATGCAGTCATAGCTCCAGTCTGTATATTGACAAAAAGAAAGAGGGGAACCAAAGTAACTGAGGGGTGTATCACCAGTAACTACCTGGTGCCTGAAAGCACGCTTATTCACATGGCTTTGGCAACAGGACTGTATCTACTTACTCGATGATGATGGTGATGATGAGAGTCCATTGGCTGAATACAACTGCCTTAGGATGTTCCAAACATACTTCCTGGGCAGATCTGTCAGTCCACAGGTGTCTTATTGTTCTCAGGGAGAATGTTACGCACTATGGGTGCTATATGGTCTGGTATCTTTGAAGTAAGGACCAACCTTTACCAGAGAAACAAAAACAAGGGTGACGGTCTATATCCCTATGTGCATCCGTTATGAAACTTTTCTGTTATTACAAGATTGGTTCCATATCATGAATGGCACTGTAATCACCAGGCTTCCACACTCACAATCACATGTTGCACAGTGGTACAGTCAGGCCACCTCTATTGTGTTGTTCCTGTGTTGATCCTCTTTACATTGGTAAGAGGCGACTAACGGGATTGGATGAGACTTCATCATATCGCAATTGCGTAGATCGATGCTCATGCTGTTGATCACTGGATTGTTTGGTCTAGGCTCGATTATTTCCAGACCGCCGTCATACAGCTGGAATATTGCTGCGGCGTAAAACTTGAAACAGGTTATAGCAGTGTATGAAATAAGCCATAAACCAAGCCAGACATCTGGGCTGGTAACTTCAAAATGTTACCAGCCCAAAATGGATTTAACCAGTCCAAAGAAAATTACTCAGGTGTATGGCACATGTTATTTAAATTTTGTACCAGACCATCCGGCTGGCTACCTGTAAATTTAGACCGTCCGTCAGAAATCTAGCCCGTCTGGTTATAGTGAATTCATACACTCTCGTCTTCAAGACAGTGGCAGGAGTCGTTGATTTTTGCAGATGAGATGTAAATGTGTAAGTCACTGATCAGTCCAAGTTGTTAAAATCAATATAAATATAATTTACAATAGGACTGGAATATGTCCATGTGTCTGGTGTTTATGCAACAACGTATTATGATGACAGGCAATTATGGTAATTGACATAAAGGGAAGTAACTCCACCAGACCTAATTGAGATCGTCCTATACATGAATGTGTTAATTGCTCTGTAAACGAACATTTTCATCATTGACTTGCTAACTATCAAATACATAAAATACTTATTGCTTACCAAAAATCTTATTAAGAGAGGGAATTCAATAGGTGAGTCATTGTTTGACTGACATTCTAGGTGGTACAGAGATGAGAAGACTTTATGATCAACTTCTTTATTTTGACAATGGCTAAATTGTCAAAATATAGAAGTTGATCATCCATAAAGTTTTGTCATCTCAATAAGTGAATCGTTTCACAGTCGGCAACATCTAACTAGCGCTCATCAACGGGATCCCCACATGGGGACGATGTGTGAAGCCCATTTCTGGTGTCCCCCGCCGTGATGTTGCTGGAATATTGCTAAAAGCGGCGTAAAACCAAATTCAGTCAGTCAGTCATCAACGGGTGGCTGTGTGGAGGTACCCGTGAAGATACGGGGTTAAAATTGGTCTTCAGCAACCCATGCGTGTCGTAAGAGGCGAATGGTTGACACAATCATGTCATCGATATCCCAATTGTTTACGTCGATGCTCATGATGTAGATCAATGTATTATTTAAAGACCGCAGCCATATAGGTGGAATGTTACTGAGTGCGGCGTTGAAGAACAAACCAACCAACCAATCAGTAATTATTGGTTTGTTCTTTTTCACATTAACCACTATCAAACATACAGGGCAGTTTACATTCTTGGGCCCCATGTGTGTGGCTTCAGTATTTCGGAGTGAGTGAGTGAGTGTTTTACGCCGCACTCAGCAATATTCCAGCCGTATGGCGGCGGTCTGTAAATAATCGAGTCTGGACCACACAACTTAGTGATCAACAGCATGATCATCGATCTGCGCAATTTGGAACCGATGACATGTGGCAACCAAGCCAGCGAGCCTGACCACCCGATCCCGTTCGTCGCCTCTTACGACAAGCATGGGTTACCCGGACTTTCACGGGTTCAGTAATTCGGATAGATAAAAGGCAACCACTTACTGTAACTTACAACTGTGATACAAGACACGGAGGCGTGGGGTCATAGTAGTTAAAACGCTCGCCGTTCTCACAGAAGTATGTGTTCGATTTCCCACATGGGTGAAATGTGTGCTGTTCATTTATGACGACCTCCGACCGCGATATTGTGTAAGAATATTGCCAAAAGCGGAGTAAAATATCTCTGGCTCGCTCGCTAACTCACTCACTCACTATCCTCACTATCTCCTTTTTTACACTCACTCACCAATGCAGATAATAGGTTCAATCGAACTAACGCCAAGTGTGGGAAACCCAACGCAGCAATGCGCCCCTCTTTATATGAACAAATTGCACTATTATCAACAGCATGGCATCCACACAGCTTCATTGACAGCACCCACTCCGCCGGAACCGGTTAATACTCCCGCATCAATGTCTCGGCAGTTTCCGCTGTCGGACAGTCAGTTAAAATTCATCTCCGATAATTTACGAGTTTGAACCGTTAAAAAAGAATAACTACTTTCCCATTAAGTGACGGTAATAGGATGCCAGACTGAAACTAGTCTCTGATTAAAGATATATTGCCGACATATTCTGTCTAAAATGAGAGTTATTATTTTCCTTGGCACTTGTGTGTTTCGAGTTCATTATATAATTAACTATTATCACTTTTGAATCACAACATCAACGTCTATATTTAGGCAGTTTCGTTAAATTCAGACATTTATTTAAATTTTTATCCTCAAATAGAGGCCGATTAAGTCTTAATGTTTCGCTTTAAAACATGACAGGGTCGACTGACAGCTGATGCGACCAGCTACGACATAATAGGAAGTTGTATTTTATTCAAACTCCAAAATTAAATTATCTTAGATGAATGGAACAGGTTGGTTTAATGATATTTTTCAATTTTATCTGAAATTATCTCCTTTTGTAAACACATAATGTGATCTCGTTATTTATACAGACATTCTTTCATGTATTAAACATTTCACAAGGAGGCTGCTTTTAGATAATATGTCAGGCAATTTATGTGAGATAAAAGCTATCTATCGCTTATACAACACGTACATATCATTATAAATGTGATTACAAACCTAAAGAATATATCTATGTGTAGCAGTTGATGTCACATATATACAAATACATATCCCAATGTTATGTGAAATTATGCAACACAATACATGCATGGTGAACACGTTCAGTGATCGGAATGTAGATTTATGGCTTGTTTGCTAGTCAACTTAAATATGTGGATGTCGATCTACTATCTAAACTAAGGCTTAGTCTCTTAATATATATTAATTTTGATAGAAACAAACAATGCCTTTTAGAATGAAAAGGAGTCCCGGCGATATGGGAGATTCAGAACCTGAGGAAATCATTTAGGGTTTTAGCATTGCAGAAGGGGCAAAGCAGAAGGGGAAAATAATGTGGTTCAAGGACTGTGAAACTAATCTACTATCCTGTATTGTGGGGTGCTGTCAAAGTAACGTGTATGGCAACTGATGTCACAACAACCATTTCTTGGACTTTTGACTGCATCTTTGAAATAACTCTGGCGAGGGAAAACCAAGTTCTATGGATAGTCAGCTTCTTTATTGCAATGGGTGCGAGATACTTGCTTGAAAACGGTGTTAGTACCTACACCGAAACGTGCTTGATAACGGTGTTAGTACCTACACTGAAACGTCGCTTGATAACGGTGTTAGTACCTACACTGAAACGTCGCATCCATTGCAGTAAAGAAGTTGACTATCCATAGAACTCGGTTTCCCATCATCTATACAACTTCTAAAATGCCCCTCAAAGAACTCTGGCGAATGTAACATTGACAACATTATTGTATCAATGTATGTACCAGCATCAGTTTTCGTGTACTCCCACTTCAATGCACATTTACCTAAAATGGTAATTATTGCTAGAAACATCAAATGTAATCTTGTTCTATTTAGCCATGCCTGACAAATGCACGGAATTTGTCATTACCTGTTAAAAGGGGATTGTGCATAAAGACACTGTGATGTACTTTAACAGTCATTACATAAATTAAAAACCAGACAGGCCAGAGCATAAAAAGAGCTTTGTAAGAGATTCTTAAATACCTAACCTGAGAGGTATTCTGCCTTGGGCTGAAGACAAATGCTAATTTTACTCATTCATTTATCAAGATGCCATAAATGACACGGGTAAAAGCGCGCTCTCTGTTGAACGCCTATCTGATTTTCCGCCCCCGCGCTGTCGTAGGAAGCTGAGAGTGTGGTCCGCTGTTGCTAACAAAAGAACTATCAAGTACATTCCAACACACAGGAGGAGTTCATTCATGTTCAGTTTTCAACCTGTTATGTTCTGCAACGAGGAATGAATGAAAATATGCAAGATCAGACAGGATTTGGATTGGAATGCGAAGTCCATTCATGTGCTGTAGGCGTGATATGTGTGGGGCGCGGTTGTTACATTACTTATCTCTCTGTTTACGTGAAGTTATGGTTTATTATTTCCGTCACCAGCATCGACTTACATCAACATGAAGTGAGAGATTCAATTTTGTTCTACGCCGTTTAAACAGTAATACAGTTACATTAGCTTCAAGGAAAACCTGAAGTGGGTGTACCACCCCGGTTAAACCCACGAGCACTGATAGGCGCGTCCACGTGGCCCAACTCCTGGGAGACTATGTCATCCAAGTTTTGTTTGTTTACATCGATTTTTTAAACGAAACGAAACAAATGAGTGGGTGAGTGAGGTCAGAGGTTTTCCAGATCATATGAT